CCTTGACTTCCTGTTATGAGGAACTTTGATCTACAATTGTAAGCTGAATAAAGACTTTCTTTCCTAAGTTGCTTTTTTTAAAAAAATCAGGGCATTTTATGACAGCAACAGAATGAGAGCTAGAACAGCCACCCAGAGTGGAATACCAGAGAGTCTAGTAATGGGATGTGATTAGACTTTCATGTACTAATGACATGATATATCCATGAAAAAAAGCAAGTGACAAAAGGAAATGTTCAATGTAACTTATTTTAGGTTACTTAGGGGGGAAAAGAGGCATGTTTTAGTGTGTTTTCCCTTACTAAAACAAATAAAAATAATCCAAGAGTGGATAACTTACAAAGAAGAGACATTTATTTGCCTGGCATGTCTAAGGTGTTGGAAAGGGGATTCTTGCAGTGTCATAGCATGGTCCATGGCACCATCATGTGAAAAGATAGAGTAGGTGTGTTAGTTTGTGTGTCTTTCTTCATCTAGAGACAGCAGTCCTGTGTAGAGGAGCCACCTTGATGGATTTGTCTAATCCTTCTACAATTAACATTATCATATCTCTAATCCTCCCACAACTAGTATCATCATGTCAATTTGGGCATTAACACACACACACACACACACACACACACGCACACACACACACACACACACACACACACACACACACACACGTGCGTGCGCGCGCGCCCGTATAAGATGGGGTCTCATGTAGTCTAGGATGGCCTTGAACTCACTATTTAGTCAAGGGTGACCTTGAATTTATGATTCTTTTGCCTTCACTTCTTGAGTGCTGGGATTTCAGGCATGAGATACCATAGTGGTTTATGTAGTGCTGGGATGGTATCCAGAGCTTCATGTGTGCTCCAACAACTGATCTATGTCATTCCCCGTACAGGATACTTTGAAGGACACATTCAAACCATAGCTAGGGGAAAGAAGGAAGGGAGATAGGCAGGCATGCAGGAACTTTGTCCCTAAAGGGATGAAGCCACCCAACCCCCTGATCCACTTTCCAGTCCACTTACCTGTTCACTCTCATTTATTATTCATTGTGTGGAGGCATAACTGTGATTTTGCTGGCACTGAAATTGTCTCACATGAAGAGGGTATTACATCTTTTAATATCTAAAAGGAGGTTAGGAAGTTGGCACTTGATTCCTTCCATCTGGCTCTGAGAGAGACAGGTCTTAAGAGTGATGCCCCAAAATTTCAAAGTGGTTCTATTTTATTTGATGTAATATACTTCTGAAGAGTACATAAATATATGTCAGAGTAGATATCAAGACTAGTCTCTCTGTATCTGTCTGTCTGTCTGTCTGTGTATGTGGATAAAGTAGGAAGAGGGACTTTATATGTGTGTGTGTACTCTTTTTTTTCTTTTTTAGACAGGGTCTTGCTACGTAGTCTAGGCTGGCACGAAACGCCTTATGTAGTCAGATTTGGCCTCAAACTCACAGAAATCCTTCTGCATCAGCCTCCCAAGTGCTGGGATCACAAACATGTGCTGTCATGCCTGGCTATGTGTCCATTCTTGGTGCCCACACATTTATGGCTGCTGGTCTTGCATATCCATGACCTGTGTCTTCCACCTCACAGATGCTCAGATGTCAGTCCTTCCGTGTGTCTCTCAGCTGTGACCCCCTGTGAGGAGCAACCTCAGTGATGAGAACTTTTAAAACAGGATCTTCACCGAAAACACATGTGAAGGCTGAGATGCTGGCGGAAGACCCTAATAATGGCAACTGTTTGTTGACTGGCTACATGGTGCCACCATGTGGCCACATGTTGTCTTGTTGTGCCATGTACTTTAGATGGGTTATCTTTAAAATTGCTCCTTCAGTGTATTAAAAAAAATGGAGTGATTCACATGATCTCTCCAAATTGTATTTAGTGAGGCTTTAGTAGTGGTATGTAGCATTCATAATTTGTCTTGTTGAGACCATGGGTGCAGCAGGAGACTGGGATTGACTGATCAGCGGAAAACCTACTCAGACACCCGTGATATTCCCAGACCCACCTCTTCCTTCCTTCCCACCTGTGCTGGGATGCCAGCAGGCCCTCTAAATCAACATGAGCAAAGCTCATATGAACTCAGAGACTGAAGCAGCATGCACAGGGCCAACCTGGGTCTTTGCCAGGTCCTCTGAGCTTATATTATCTTCCAATGTAGTGTTTTTTATGTGATTCTTGAGTGTGTGAACAAATGGGTCTCTGACTCTTACATCTTCTCTTTGGCTCCTCTCCTGTTGGTCGGTCACACATGACTTCAGTGTGATAGTTTTTGCTTTATCTTATTATTTTGTTATGTTCTTAAAAAATGAATGAGATGGGTGGTGGTGGCGCACGCCTTTAACCCCAGCACGTGGGAGTCAGAGGCAGGCGGATCTCTGTGAATTTGAGGCCAGCCTGGTCTACAGATTAAGTTCCAGGACAGCCAGGGCTGTTACACAGAGAAACCCTGTCTTGAAAACAAAACAAAACAAAACAAAATACAAAAAAGAGAATGAATAAATGAATGGTTCTAGAGGGGAGCACTCCTTCGTGGAGCTAGGGCAAATGTTCCATTGAACTGGAAGCTCAGGCTCCCCCACCCCCAATGAACTGGAAGCTCAGGCTTCCCCCCCTGGCTACTTTGGCCTTCTGATGCCTTTAAGGCAACAAGCCCAAAAAGTGATAACAGTGTTGGGAGGGGTGATTGATCTAGATTACCAAGGGAAAAGTGGATTATTTTTACATAGTGGAGACAAAGAAGACTATGTCTGGAATTTGGGATATCTGCTCTTGGTGTTGCCATGACCTGTGATTGAAGTCAATGGGAAATTACAATAACTTAATCCAGGCATTAATAGTTCAATTAGAGGTAAGAAGACAGCACTTGAAATTTGGGTCACCCTTTCTCATGGCAATCTGTATAAATGGTGTGGAAGAAAGAAGTTTTTACTTTTTGCCTGCTTGGCCTCCTTGCTGTTCTCAAGGTTATGGATCCTTCTGCTTGAGGCATTTCTCCACTGGCATTAGAGCCTTCTTCTTTGGAATTTCAATGTATACTGAAAATCAGATGAGACATCTAGCCTTGTGGGCTGAACAGCTATTGGAGTCTTGTACTTTCCATCGGGGACAGCCATTGTTGAACTAGCTGGACCACAGCCTGTAAGCCACCCTATATGGATTTATTAATCCATACACATACATACACATACATACATACATACATACATACATGCATACATACATCCACCTATCAGTTTTGTTCCTCTAGAGAACCCTGACTAATACAGATAGGAAGGGATCATGATAAAAAAAAAAGATGAAACTATTCCTGGAATTTTAGAGCTAATGTCTCGACTCGGGGAGTCCCAAGGGATTAGGCTGGTCAGTCTATCCAAATATGTTAAAGAGTCAAGAGACAATGAAAAGCAGAGAAAGGAGATTTAATCTGTGTGGCACACCAGGAAGAGAACCAGACGACGTCTATCTGCAGGGCACTGACAGGAGCTTTTTGGGGCGGAGAGTGAGGTGTACAGTTCTGGCTAGAATGCTGTCTGGCTGATAGTTATCTCAGGTCTGGTTCTACAGGGTGGTTCAAAAAATCTTTATTTTTGAGGGGACTAGCTGGTTCCGAGGAGATGGCTGATTCTGACTGGGGGTGTTCTCATGATGGGGTGATCTGTCTGTGGGCTTCTGCTGCTATCCAAGAGGCCTGAAGGTTTAGGACAGTGACATTTGTGTGTCTGGTGCAGGACCCTCTAAAAGCTGATAGGAAGGTAATTCAGTTGCTCTTATCTTTATTTTTGCCTCCAGTCATAAAGGGGAATGAGGCTGGTCAGACATCCTTGGCATTTAGACAGACATTCCTTGAGTTATTAACATGCTTACGTGCAGGGTTAGCAGGTGATTAAGTCGTAGTAAAGGAGACATGAAAAATAAGATAGATGCCAGGCCTTCATCCGTCCTGCTTTGGCTATTCTGTAGGCTCAAGTGAAGAATCCATGTCTTTAAAAGCATTTTTATTTAGAGGTGTGTGGTAGTTCACAACTTTAATTCTAGCACTGGGAAGAAACAGACAGCTAGGTCTCTGTAGTTTGAGGCCAGCCTGGTCTACAGCTAGTTCCAGCACAGGCAGAGCTACATAATAGAGAGACCCTGTCTCAGATTAAAACAAAACACTTGTTTTCAGTATAAAGTCACAGTTAATAAACTGCCAACTTAAACACTTATTTTTAAAATTACCTAAAGTTCTCTGGAATGTATCATAAATTTTGTCAAATGCATAGATGCATGTACCAACTATGATCAGCATACATGATGATCTTCTCAGCTCCTCAGTTCCCTTCATATTATAGTTTGTATTCAATCCCTCCTCTAGCTCTAAGCCCTGGGAATCACTGTTTTATTCTCTGTCTTGGGAACTCGCCTCTCGAAAAGAATATGTGTGGGTTCATGAGGTAAGTACATAGATTTGTGGATGTGTTCACTGACCTAGCACAATGCCTTTTGAGATTCATCTGCGATACAGCATTTATCAACGACCAGATTTTGATGCAGAAATCGTTTAGCCTTAAACTATAAAATGGTAGAAATCTTTTTGAACGTTTCATGAATGTACGATCTTCTCGCTGCTGATTGCAGGGAGGGTGTGGCAGCATCCATTCAGGCCTGTTTCTTCCTGTGTCCTCTCACTTCTACTAGAAGCCTGGAAGCTGCACCAGCCTTGCTAACTCGCTCCAGGTGTCTCCTGCCTCACAGCATCTGGATGGCATTGGTGAGCTCTGGTCCCTTCCACTATTGGGGTTGGTGTGGGGGAGGATGCTGCCACCTCCAGGGTACGCTTCTGAGCTCAGAGTCCAGCAGCCCCGTAGTTCTCAGGCTGGGGCACCTTAGTGACGCATGGTTCCAATAGTGGAGGGCGGGGCTGTCTACTGGCCTCCAGAGAAGAGAAGTCGCCCTAGTGTCACTATTATCAGCAGCAAGGGGGCCTAGTGCGTGCCCTTCCCTCGCGTGGCCTTTGCTCGTGCCCTTTCTTTGCTCACACGTTCCAGCGCCGCGTCATAGGCGACACACTCCACAGTGCGTGCCTTGCTGTCGGCTCCTTCGGCAGCTAGAGAAGCGTCTTTGAACCGTTGACTCCATTGAAGGCGTCGATCGTGCAGAGCTGTCCGGATGGGTGGTTACCTGGGCCGGTCTCGCCCTCGCCGTCAGTCCCTGACTGTGCCCACTGCGGACCTCCAGAACAGGCCCTCGCCACCTGTCCATGGTGTTTCCAGGTCTCTCGGGGTTAATTCCATGGATCAGTGCCTGAACATGGCTGGCAGCCTGTCTTTGGAAGATGATGAGACTTTAGCCAATTTCCAGGAGCACCCTGGGTGCGTGATGGTCGTTCACACGCAGCGATATCCAGTGGAGAAGGCCCGGGATTTGCTTGCTGGAGATTTTTCCTCAATGTTCTTGACTGGCCAGCACAACTCAGTGCCGACACTGTCGGGTTCCAGGATGTCCCGAAGCTCAATGATCCTGAAGGTGGTTTCTACTAAGGGCAGAGCCACGTTCCGTTTTGTTCTGGGGCAGCCGTTCCTGACTATATGGTCTTTTCTCAGTGGCTACTTCTCGACCCAATCTAGGAAGAAGACACGGATTAGTGCTCTTCAAGAGACCAGCAAAAGCAAAAGCAAAAGAATGCGAGCAAAGAAAAAGAAAGACCCCACTATCTTGGGAAAAGGTGGAGAAGGATTTGCTACGCTGGAGGAATGCTCCACAGTCGTCAAGAGACCTTCTGATGAGGGAAAGGACTGTGATGGTGATGTGAGCGCCCCATCTGCATTTAGACGCCTGATTGTCAATGGTGTACTTTCTTCTTTTGTACCCAGGCCGGGTCCTTTGTGTAGGGATATCCATTCCAAGAACTCAGCAAAGAGCAATATTAAAGAATCCCAGATTGCCTTCAAGAGCTCATACAAACGAAATGCCATTGCCAGCTCCTACAGTTCCACTCTAGCACAGTGGCCACCAGAGAGAATTCGTGTACATGCTACTGGAGGTGCCGCCCTTGGAGCAGTTTCTGGGGCTGCTCCAGGCACTGCTGCAGGCGCTACCCCAGATGATGCTGCAGGCGCTACCCAAGGTGTTGCCGGTGGTGCTGTTTCAGGGGCTGTCACAGGCACTGTTTCACAAGCACGTGCTGCAAGTGCTGCCCCAAAGGTTGCTGCAGGTGCTGCTGCACATGCTACCCAAGGTGCTGCCCCAGATGATGCTGCAGGCGCCACCCGAGGTGCTGCCCCAGATGATGCATGTACCGCCCGAGGTGTTGCACGTGCTACTCGAGCTACTGCTGCAGGTGCATCCCCAGGCACTGCTTCTGGTGCCACTGCAGATGCTGCTTCTGGTGCTGCTGCAGATGCTGCTTCAGGGGCTGCAGCAGATGCTGCCCCAGGTGCTGCCCCAGGCGCTGCTTCTGGTGCTGCTGCAGATGCTGCTTCAGGGGCTGCAGCAGATGCTGATCCAGGTGCTGTCCCAGGCGCTGCTTCTGGTGCTGCTGCAGATGCTGCTTTAGGGGCTGCAGCAGATGCTGATCCAGGTGCTGTCCCAGGTGCTGCACCATGCGCTCTGCCATTCCCCAGCCCAGACTCATCCCGGTTGAAGGAGGCTGCAAATGAAGGTGATGAGAAAGACGGTGCATCTTCAGGTAATGTGAAAAAAAAGGAAAAGAAGACCAAGAAGGAAAAAAAGAAAGAAAGGAAAGAGAAGAAGGAAAAACTCAAGAAAGCCAAGCAAGCAGCTGTCACAGATGCTCCTCAAGTCAAGCAAGGCAACCCAAGGAAGGGCCCCCCCAAATCTGACATTCCAAAGCCTGTGAAACGCAAGATCCCTCTGTTGCTGCCCAGTAGAAGAGACGTCCCACTGGTTCCGCCACCACCCCCAGGATTATATTTTCGAATCACTACAGAAGACTTTGACTTAGAAAAGAAAACTGCCATGCAGTGGATCAACAAGGTCTTGAAGGGTAAGTGAGAGACTGCATAGTCAGCAACTTTCCTGTCTTCTGCTGTTGCGTCTGCTAAAGGACTTCCTCCAGCTCCTTTCCTTCCAGTCCCGTCATTCATTCAGAGCAGAGAGAGCACTGGGAAGATGCAGAGTCCTATGCTTGGTATCCTCATAATGTAATGACTGCCTCTTTGGGCCATTTTTCTTGGTTCTTTCTGAACCCCACTTTGCTTTGTTGGATTATAAAGAAACACACAGGTTTCCTGGCCCACAGAGGGTCTGTCTTTCAAACACCTGGTTGCTTGGTCTTTGCTAGTAGTTTAGTCTAGCTTTGTTCTCGAGGCAGCCCAGGAAACTCACCTAGCCTGCGGGAACTGTGGTGGATCCGCTTAGACTGCTAACTCTGCCCAGAGATACAGTACTATAGTGCTAGAAGTCAAATTGGATGACTGGAGGAATTTGGTCTAACCCAGTGGATCCTGAAACATAAAAGGGGCAATTTGGGTTGTTTTTTCTCTAGGTGAGAACAATCAGGGTGGCTACTGTTGATGGAGTTGCCTGTTTCTGCCCCTCTCCCTTGCTTATTTGGACAAATTAAACACACACACACACACACACACACACACACACACACACACACAGAGCTTGATGTGAAAAATAAGTTCTTTCCCCACAAAGCTAACATATACAAACCAAGATGGTATAGAGCAGTGATTCTCAACCTTCCTAATGCTGCAACCCTTTAATAGAGTTCCTCATGTTGTGGTGACTCCCAACCATAAAATTATTTTCATTGCTACTTCATACTACAATGTTGCTACTGTCATGAGTTGTAATATAAACATCTGGTATTTCCAATGGTCTTAGGCCATGCCTGTGAAAGGTTGTTTGACCCCCAGAGGGGTCATGATCCACAGGTTGAGAACCACTGGTCTAGATGAATCACCTCTATGGTATCAAACACTTTGTAGTTATTAATTCCTCTTTATTTCTCTTCACACACTTATTCCTATTTGTGTCTTTTACAGATGATGGAGCCAAGGCCCGGTGTAATTAAATGACCCGAGGATGGCAACATGTCACTGGATACATAATACTGATATTTAGGCCTGAGAAACCAGTTTCTGTACTCTGTCCATGTAGTATAATATCACATTTTATTTAGAACTATTTTGATACTTAAATAAGATTGTTACCAAGAATGCTTGTTGTAGCATCTAATTTATACTCTAGTGTGATACATTATCTCTTAATATGATTATGTGTCCCCCCTGTTGGTCACAGCTATGACCCACACATCCCCTTGGAAGCAAGTCTTCCCGACTTCCCTTGCCCATCCTGGGGATCGTCATTTGTTACTGAGGGTTCTGACTCAGGATGTTCTTTGACCCTTCATGCCTCAGAACACTGCAATCTCTAATTAGAGCCTTGGGGAAGGTTACTCTTCTTGGAACCACCCTGTCCTATTTTTTTAAAAAACTTCTGTTGCTGTGATAAAACACTATGACAAAAGAAGCTACGTAAGGGAGAAAGGGTTTACTTGGCATACAGATCCAGACTGTGGCCCATCATTTAAGGAAAGTCAGGGAAGGAACCTGAAGTAGCTGGTCACTTTTCCAGTCAAGGGCAGGGAGAATAAATACATGGCATACTTTCTGTGTTCAGTCCCATACTTACACTTAAACAGTTCAAGACCCTAACTCAGGGAGTAATACCACCCATAATGGATGAGTTCTTTCATCTTAATCAAGCCAAACAAGACAGTTTCCCACAGACTTGCCTCCAGACCAACCGGGTCTAGACAGATTGAGGTGATTCTAGGTTGTGTCACGCTGACAATTAAGACTAAATATTATATACTCTGTCTCTAGCCCCTAAAGCAACTATCTATGTGTTCAGAGCAGCAAACTGAACCTCCTTTGAGTGGCACCATGAGCTCTCATCTCTGATTCCCAGGTATTCAGGTCAGCAATGTGAGATAAATATACAAATCCATTGTTCCCCAGTGTATCTTGTTTTCTGTATTGCTTTCACATTTTTTGCCTTTTGTTATTCATAGGATTTTAAATGTGAAGTGTTTATATGGTTAACAAGCAGATTCTTCATCTTATGTCTTGGTTTAGAATTCCTCTCAGTCCCCAGGCGTCAATGTAAATAAAAAAGAGACTTCCCAAAGATTAGCAAGTTTATCCAGGAATACACACTGCAACAGCACTGTGTGTACCATGGCAAGCTATGCATATATTCAAGGAGGTGGAGACAAAAGAGAAACAAGGGGATTGTGCAATTTATTTTGAAACAAGTTTTGACTGCAAGTATCAATAACAACAGTGACATTGACCCAAGGTTCAGTGTGGACTGTATATTCTTTCAGAATTATTTTCCATGTAAGGTTACTTGATCCCACACAACAAGATTATGGTCTGGCAGGCATTTAAACTGGCCATTTTATTAGACACATGTACATGAGATCCCTTCCTTCATAACTGAAATTTATTTCTTTGAGTATAACACAAATAACTCCATTTTGATCCAGACAACTTTCACATAGTCTACCCATATAAGCAAAATCATGGCTGTTACTGGTAATATGTTACAATATGGTGGTGGTGCTAGGGGTGAAGGATAACTAAGATTCTTAATAATCTGACTTTGAGGTGGCCCCAGATTGTTTAGACGGGCCCGACGAAGTGAGAAGGATCCTACTTAATGAAGAGGGAATTAACAGTGATAATGTCAGAGTTTGGACTTAACAATAAAGGAAGCAATATCTGAATGGCTGTGAGGAGGTGAAGGGTCAGCAGGCAACTATCAGAATCTCTAGAAGCTTCAGTATCCTCAGCAGAAGCACAGCTCTTCTGACTCTTGGTATTTAGATGGTCAGGCAATGAAGCTCCAGTTTTCAAGTAACCTCACCTTCACTTACTGAAATAAACAGTATGTGCTGGCCAGTCGTGTGTCAACTTGACACAAACTAGAATCATTTGAAAGGAGAGAGCCTCAATTGAAAAAAAATTCCTCCATAAAACCCGACTATAAGGTATTTTCTTAATTAGTGATCGATGGTGGAGGGCCCAGCCCAAGGTGGGTGGTGACATCCCTGGGCTGGTGGTCCTAGGTTCTATAAGAAAGCAGGCTGAGCAGCCGTGGGGAGCAAGCCCATAAGCAGCACCCTCCATGGCCTCTGCATCAGCTCCTGACTCTGGGTTCTTGCCCTGTTTGAATTTCTATCCTGATTTCCTTCGATGATGAACTACAAAGTGGAGGTATAAGCCAAATAAACCCTTTGCTCCCCAACTCTTTGGCCGTGTGTTTCATCACAGCAATAGAGCCTCTGACTAAGACACAGCATATACTTGAATCTTACCCCTGGCTCTATGCTGTGTCACCTCCAGTGTGTGTCTTTTCCATGATTGGTGTCATTTATTGAAGTGGTTTTTTTTCGTGCTCTTCTGATAGCCAATAACTAAAGTTATTGACTTTCTTAAAAAATGTGTCCTCAAATGCCTGTCACATGGCTTCACACATAAATGTGAAGGTGGTTTCATTCCATCATCACAAAATCTCTAGCGGGGCTTGATTGGGGTTTTGTTGTGTTTGGGGAAGAAGTTGGATGTGTGCAGCACTGTGATGCAAGGCAGCCACAAGGCAAACAGAGGTAACACTCGAGGACTGCGTCTTGCGGGACATTAAGCAAGGGACACTTCCCCACAGTCAGCATTTTGTTTCAAACATGTCTTGAACAGCTGATAGATAGATTGTCTATACTCCAAAATCTTGTGGTGGGTCAAAGATGGTGGGCTGTTGCTTGGGGGCGATTTTCATCTTTTGCCTACTCTCCTGAAGTCTTTGCTTCCTATTTCTTATTTTCCCATAGTCATAGGAAGGTACAACTTACTTTCAAAAATGTATAGCAGGCTGGGTTTGGTGGTGCAGGACTTTTATTACTTTTTTATTACTTGAACAGTTTTTAATTTTAAATATGTTTTCCCCTTCTCCAAGTCTTTCCAGAGGCTCTCCCCTTCCCAAGCTATCTTGAAAAACAAAAACAATACAAGGACCCCCTAAACCAAGAAAAAAACTACTCCAAAAGAAAAAAAACAAATCCCTCAAACACCAAACTAATCAAATATAAGCACACACACAAAACTATGGAGTCTATGTTAGTCAGTTACTCCTGAACACGATGTCTGTCCTGGAGTGGGCGCTATATCCAGGTGCAGGGATCAAAGGTATTCCCCACCATGCCAGACAAGGCTGGTCTTGAACTCACAGACTTTTGCCAGTCCTAGCACTCAGGAAGCAGAGGAAGGCATATCCCTGAGTTCAAGGTCAGTCTGGTCTACAGAGCAAGTTCCAGAGCTACACAGAGAAATCCTGTCTCATAAGCAAACAAAACAAAATAACACCTACTACCCACCAACCTTTGATCTACTGTCACTGGATTTTAAAGTTTCCTACCATTATCAAAATTGCCAAACTCTTATGACCACAAAGAAACACAGGTCCATGGCCAATGTCCTGTGTTGCACCTGTCCATGTGACTGATCCTATTTTCTGAGTCAGATTGCAGAGTTCCTCACAGGTTTGGACAAAGACTTACTAGCATATTTCAGAGACAGGAATTCAGGGTTGCGTGCTGCTTGCAGCATTCAATTCTGGGCAGAGCCCAGGCAGCCACACTTGGCCTGCAGAGAGGACTGCTCAGTGCCTCCCTTCCAGGGCAGGTGGGGTCAGCGTTCCTAGGTATTTTAGGGGAATCCTCTGGGCAGGACCCTCTGCCTCACCTGTCAGGTGTCGAGGAGCTCCTGAGGATGCAGGCTAGCTTCCAAGTTCCTTTAGTGGGTATGGTCTGCGCCTGTGAGGGTCAGAAGGACAGAGGCCAAGTGTGGCAGCCTCTGAGCCGGGAGGGAAGCTTCTGGAAGTTGTGTGGGTGCCAACATGTATGGGTCTCTGTTAGGGTGCCCCCTGCACCTTTACCCCTAGGCTGATCAAGCTCTCGATTTGTGTGGAGCCTGAAGCATCCAGCTTGATGGCTCTCCGGGTCTGCCTACATTCTCTTCTGCCTCTGCCTTAATTTTTCCACTCTCCCCAGGCTCTTTCCACCACTACTTTCCCACCTGGCCTCAGTCTTCTCCTCCAGGGGACAGATGGCTGAGCCTGTTAGGCTTCCATCCCAGGGATCCCCTGAATGGGAAATCTGACAAGGTGAAGAAGAGGGATTCTGACAGTTCTGACAAAGTGTGGGTTTCTGCACACTTGTATCTATAATAGGACATGGCTAACTAACTTGTTTGGTTCCAAGAATCCTCTCCACCCCTCTTTTTGAGTCAAGGTGTTTCTATCTACCCTGGCTGTCTTGGAACTCACTCTGTAGACCAGGCTCTCAGAGATCTACCCGTCTCTGCCTCCCAAGGACTAGGATTAAAGTGCTACCACACCAGGCTTTGATCAATCTCTTGGTTCTAGTCCACTGAGTCTTAATGTTGGTCTAGGAAGACTTAAAAAATTGGTTCAGAGTCCCTGAGCTCCCACAAGCTCAGGCCAGATGTCTTAGTGGGAGCTCATGGATTTTGGATCAACAGTTAGGGACCCTGCTTGGGACTGACCTAGGCCATTCGCGTGTGTGGCAGTTATGTAGCTTGGTCTGTTTGTGAAGTTCCTAGTGGTGAAATCAGGATCTGTCCTTGGCACTCAGCTGGCTTTTGGGAACCTGTTCCCCATCCTCTCCCAGTCTTGATGCAGGGGAAGGAGCTCTGTCCTACCTCAACTTGATGTCCCATGCTTTGTTCAAGCCCATGGGAGGCCTGTACCTTTTTGAATGGAAAAGGAGAAGGAGTGGATGGGGAGAGGGTAGATGGGATGTGGGGGATCAGGTAGGATGGGAGGAGACGGGATGGGAGTAAAGGGGGAGGGGAGACTGTGATTGGTATGTAAAGTAAATGAAAAAATTTAATTAAAAAAATTGAGTGGTTTCCGATTTCTGGAAGCCACATTCCTAAGATGACCTGATTCTTCTTAATGGCTTCCTGAGAAAATTCTAGCTGTCCAAAGAGTCCACCCTTTGTGGCAGCCAGTACTTGAGAATGAACTGCTGTCTCCCAGCCTCTGTGAGCATATGAATCCGACTTTGGCATTGGTCAACCAAGTGGCCTGATGCCATTTGCAGGAACTCCCGACTCTACTGAGGATCCCTCAAACTCCTTCTGTTCAATGTTCATTCTCCATTTGAAACTTGAAGCCCTTCTACTGCAGCTCCATGACAGGAATCAAAGTTTTCTTCAGTCCTCCCTGTACTGCTTGAGTGGACCAGGGGCTTTGCTAGGATTACATGCCTAGCGAGTAGCAGACTCAGGATTCAAGCCTATACCTGCCTGACCAACTCTATGCATCTCTGTCCCCTAGCTGAACCCTTTAAAATAAGCCCATGAGTCCAACCACAGGCACTGACCATTTGCTTAAGGCAACAGTGACAAGCTAGGGAGTAAACAAAACCACATTTGCTGTTACTGCTTTTGTGCAGTGCTCTTTTCCTACCATATTTGCTTAACCTTTGTTCACCCACCCTCATGTTCTCCGTTGGTACTTTAAAAAGTAATACACTTTATTGTGATACTATTATTATTAGATTTAAAGTAGTACCAGGTAGGCTTAATACCTAAGCTGGAAACTTGATATCAAGGTCTCAGGTTAGAAACTGGAGAGCCAAGCAATAAAGGCCATCCCCTGTTATTTTCATTCACTGTCTGCAAACATCCTTTTCATCTTTTATCAAAGCATGTGCTACAGTACTGGAAGTCCTAGACAGAGCAGCAAGCAAGGAAAGGACATGGCCTCTAAGCAGGAGATGAATATGTAGTACTAACTCTTGTTGTTTGTGGTATGCTTTCAAAGGTAGAAAGCCATAAATCAATCTCTCTCTCTCTCTCTCTCTCTCTCTCTCTCTCTCTCTCTCTCTCTCTCACACGCACACATTATAACAAAAATAATAAGAACTGTTAGGTTTCATAAACAAATTTATCAAATGTCCAAAATATTAAATGAGCACATAAAAACCAGTTGTTTTGTTATAGCGCTGGAAAAATAAATAAGAAAATTAAGAAAGCACTTGTATTTTTAATAATATAAAAAAAGAAAAAATTACTTAGGAATAAAACTAGTCAAGGAGGTGAAGGATTTGCATACCAAAAGGTAAAAATATTTCCAAAAGGAACTAAATAATGAGATTAAAGAAATTCTTAGTATCACAATATGATGAAAATTAATTCAGGAAGAAATAAAAAAATCGGAAAGATATAGAATAGCTGAGGAGATTGAATAAGCAATTGAAAA